TGGTGTGTTCCTTCTTGGGTCCAACTCCTTTGGGACTCTCTGAGCTTCCTGAACTTCCTGGAAGTCTATTTCCTTTGCCAGATTCTGGGAAGTTAAAGGGGAAGTTCTCCTTTATTATTTGTTCAGATAACTTTTCCAGTCATTGCTCTTCCTCTTCCCCTTCTGGTACCCCTATTATGGATGCTGGAACGTTTAAAGATGTCCTGGAGGTTCCTAAGCCTCTCCTCATTATTTTGACTTCTTGTTTCTTCATTCTTTTCTGTTTGTTTCTTTCTTCCTTCTGGGCCACTCCATTGATTTGAGTCCCAGTTTCCTTCCCATATCACTATTGGTTCCCTGTGCATTTTCCTTTATTTCACTTAGCATAGCCTTCATTTGTTCATCTAATTTGTGACCAAATTGAACCAATTCTGTGAGCATCATGATTACCAGTGCTTTAAACTGTGCATCTGATAGGTGGGCTATCTCTTTGTTGCTTAGTTGTATTTGCTCTGGAAATTGATCTGTTCTTCAGTTTGGGCCATTTTTTTTTTGGTCTGTTTGCACCTGTTACATATGAGGGGCAGAGCCTTAGGTGTTCACCAGGGTGGGGCACCCCACATCTCTGTGTTGTGATGCTGTATGTAGGGGCGGGGTCTGGAACAATGGCACTTGCTCTACTTTCTGTTGGATTTCAGTCCCTTCCACCACTTCCCCCAAGCAAACTGAGCCTTTCTGGTGCTGATTCCTGTGTGGGTGGGCTTGTGTACATTGTAGGACCCTGTGGGTTTCTCCAGCAAACACTCCTGTGAGGCTGGGAGTCTCTCCCTGCACCTCAACCCCAATGGTTGTTTTCAGTTGGTGATTTGAGGCTTCATTTCCACTCACTGGGACCCTGGGTGTGTCTTGGTCCCCAGTTGTGCCTGGTTTATCTGTGTGCAAATGTGGGACCACCCGGTCAGCCACCTTGCATGCACTGACTTGCTTCACCATTGCCACCTCCCTGGGTCTGCCTGTTGCCACCCTGCGCCCGGGGTCCACCTGCTGCCATCTTGCATGCCTGAGGTGGCTATCACACCTGGTGCCACCACTTTTTGTGCCATGACCCCTCTCCATCCAGCTGCCTGACTTCATCCCTCCTACTGGTCTAGATGAATGTGTCCATTTTATCTCCTTGGTTGTCCGACTTCCATACAGTTCAATTTTCTGGCAGTTATGGTTGTTATTTTGTTTCTAAATTGTTGTTGTCCTTATTTTGGTTGTGGGAGGAGGCACAGTATGTCTACCTACACCTCCATCTTGGCTGGAAGTCCCACATGCTCTTAATTTCCCGCTCTCTCCCTGCCCATCCCTGCTCAGTCTGCTTTGCTGGGTCTTCTTCCATCAGTGAAGGCCAGGGTCCCTTCCACAAATTCTTTCTAGGCAGCTTGGGAATACAGTGTCTATATGCCAACACTTACCTCTCTAGCCCTGGCTTTTGCTTAAAACCCAGGAGTTGTAAACTGTCTTCACATCTCCAGGGATTGAGACAGGCTCCTCAACCTCAATACATACACCAAATGGAAATTCACAGTCACCCCCAAACCTGTTCTCCTGGTCTCTGCCATGTCTTTGGGCATTGTCCCCCTACACACGGTTACCCAAGGCCCAAACCAGAGGTTATTTTCTTCACTTTCCAAACGCAGTCCATCTGCAAGTCCTACTGCTTCTTCTTCCAGGATATCTCATGCATTTGTTCACCTCCACTGCATCCCCAACCACCTCCCTGGTGTAAGCGGCCACCAGGCCTCTGTTGACTAACAGCTACCTGTCCCACGCCTGCTGTCACCTGGCCCCATTCAATTTGTTCTTCACATCAGAATTTTCTTTTAAGATATCAATCAAGTCATGCTCACTTCTCCTCTTAAAACCCTCCTGTGACTTCCCAGTGCACTTAAAATACAATCTAAATATGGCCTCCCAGAGGTTCTCATCCACGAGTATGGAGCCCCCCTTTCCCACCCCAGTGTGCATTAGTGACATCACCTTCCTTATGTGGGAGGACACCTGACACAACCTTTCCCTCTACCCCCGTGTGGTGCCACCTCCCATGTGGTCCTAGTTGAAGATTCCTACAGAGGTTTGTGGGGCATCCTCCAGTCTGTCATTCAGATCTCAACTGAAATACCGTCTTCCAGAGTTGCCTACCTCACAACTTAATGTAGCCAGCATCGGCCCCCTCCCACCTTACTCTTAACTCTGGGCATATTCCTGGTATTAATTTCATGGGAGAAGGGAACTTCTCTTTGTTCACTGCCTTCCAGACTTAGTGCCTGGCAGATACAGGCATGCAGTAACCATTCGTTGAATGAATGGATGGGTAAATGAGTGACTCTCTTGAAATGCTAAATATAAATGTTAGAATAATTATTGGGTTATCTCTTTGAAGTTATTTTAAAAAGTAAATGTGAAAGCTTATTTCCTTCTGAGGGCTGAGCTCTTGTATCCTCCAGGCTCTCAGTTCAGCTAAGGGTCCGAACATTGGCCTCCAGCGGTCTGATTTACTACATGGCTCACCAGCACCAGGTGGATCACGCTGCGCTGCACCTGCACGGGGGCCGCCTCCACTTCACCTTCGACCTTGGCAAAGGAAGAACCAAGGTCTCTCACCCTGCGCTGCTCAGCGATGGCAAGTGGCACACGGTATGCTCTCAGGAAGCTTCCGATCACTCCCTCCAAGTTTCACTCCACTTGTTCCTTGTGTTCTCTCCATTCCACTGCAGTGAAAGCATTCTCTTGGATTCCTAGCTTGCCTTGTATTTGCTAGCTCTCCAACAGAATGTAAGCATCTTCCTGAAATATCCCAGGGCCTATCCCAGTGCCTGACACCTCACAGGCACTCAGCAAACATTGCTGGAATGAATGAAAGCTACCGAAAATGTTGTCACCCTGATGAGAAGTGCACTAAGCCCACCCATGGTCTGAGTGGGCCAAATCCAAGAGCACGCCATCTACTACCTCATCAGCAGGACTCTGGGACACCTGTTTTCTAAAGCAAGCACCAGTCCCTGCTTCCCGTCCAGCAGGCTCAGTCCCTTCACAGCACCAGCTGTGTGAAACTCGGAGACATCCTTTAGGATGTCATTTGGGTTATTACAGCTGTAATGAACAGAGTTGCAAGCACACACCTGTTAAAGCTTTCTCAGATTCCTTAAAAATTAAGCATGTTTTCCTTTTGCTCTAGGTCAAGACAGAGTACTTTAAAAGAAAGGGCTTCATGACGGTCGATGGCCAGGAGTCCCCCATGGTGACCACCGTGGGAGATGGCACTGCCTTGGACGTGGAAGGAAAGTTGTACCTGGGAGGCCTTCCCTCTGATTACAGGTCCCGGAACACTGGAATTGTAAGCGGCATTTTCCGTATGGGGCCTATTTTGCCTTTACCACCATTGTGTTTATTTTTAAAGGAACATTTTCATGTTTAAATTGTCTCATTTTTCAACCTGGGGTTTGGCTGCAAGATGCAATCCTTTCAAACCACATTCCTGGATTGTGTGCTGGGGCTTCCCCTTGAAGCCCAGCCAGCCTTCCTGTTAGTTAATGAGCGGATTTCTTTCCCCAGCTACTTAGCCCCAGTGAAATCCAGGAAAGCCCAGGGAATTTGTATTTGCAGATTAGAAAACTCCCCAGCCTTGATTTTTATGATATTTAATCAAGATAATAGAAAACACATTTACCGCATTATTAGTAAAGATACTTCATAGTAGTTTTAAGTTAGATATTCATGTGAAGTATTGTGGCAATTAGATTTTAAAAACCAAATGGTAATGTTGAAGTACAGCGGAAGTTTGCCCTGCCCTCCTTGTACTCACCACCTCTCGCCCTCGTGTCATTCGGTCTAGATCACGCACAGCGTCCCTGCTTGCATCGGGGAGGTGACCGTGAACAGCAGGCAGCTGGACAAGGACAGCCCAGTCTCGGCATCTGCAGTAGCCAAGTGCTATGCAGAGGCCCAAGAAGGAACTTTCTTTGAAGGAAGTGGATATGCAGCTCTTGGTATGTATTATCGACCATCTCGAAAGAAATCTTGGGGACCCACCTGCCCTCTAAGATGATACGGACCCAAGAATTACATGACAGAGCAGGACCCCCAGGATGAGGCTGCAACAAGACCACACCCAGTTAAATGTTACCATTTATTTTGATTTCTCAACTTCCAAGGTGCAAGCCTTCTCACTCTGTGCCCCCCAGATGTCCAGCCAAAGGCTCCCGGCCCCTGGGGCAGTGCAGCTCCTGGCAGCACGTGGTCCCAGTGTCATCTTTACCCTCCCCAAGTTTATGAAAGGCATGCTCTCACTGTCTAAGTTAATAAAGGCCTTTGAGTTAAAAATAAGCAGCATACAATATTTAGACCAGCCAGCCAAGTGCAAGTCAGATTTGATGAAATTAAGTCCGTTTAGATTGTTGAAAATATTAATGAATTAGAAGTGAAAATTTAAATCTCTAAATTGCCTTAGAATGTAAATTCCTCAAAGCTTAGAACTGGCCCTTCAGATGCATCTGACACCGCCTCCTCCTTTCACTGCAGACACTTAATTTGCTGGTTCACTCCCTGTTTGCACCGGAGCCATGCTCCTCTCCACCCTGTTCTCCTTGCCGTCCCAGCGCCTTTGCCCTCTGGCTTCCGGGAAGGTTCTGGTAGAAGACGGGGGCAGGAGGGAGGAGGAGAAAAGCTAGTGCAGGACTCTCCTTCACTCCTCTTGCAAGTTCTGGTCACAACGCCACCTTCTCACATTTTCCCTTCAACCCTGGGTATGGTAACACTGTCTTCTGTTGCTAATGTCCTCAATTTATCTCAGCTTTTTTATTCACCCCGATAAAAAAATTATTCAACTAAATTTTCACTTTTTAAAAAAACCTAATGTAGATTCTGACTAATACACTCAGTAAATGTTACACGTGGTAGGTGAAAATAAAGCAGGCTGCTCTTGTATAGAAGATGAAGGGATTATATTGGATGGAACCCCTTTTGCTTTTCCTTACCTGGCTCTAGATGACAGGATGTGCCTGCCTGGGCTCCAGTCTGGCTTAGCCCTTCTGACTGTGTGTCTTCTTTAGAAGCATCACTTCACCTTACAGATGTGCAAACGGAGACTCAGAGATTAAAGGTGACTTGCTGATGGTGGAGCTGGATCCAGAGAAGGAGCTAGAGCGTGTCTTCTGAACCTCAGTCAGGGCTCCCACTGTAGGGCCAGTCCAGCCCCCCTGCAGGGGCGGGGCGGGGCGTGTCTCTCCAAGCCCGAGCCGTCCTGGGCCTGAAGGAACTCACCCATAACTCCAGCTCTCTTTGTGTTTTTCAGTCAAAGAAGGCTACAAAGTCCGATCGGATGTAAACATCACCCTTGAGTTTCGCACCTCCTCAGAGAACGGAGTCCTCCTGGGGATCAGCAGCGCCAAAGTGGATGCCATTGGGTTAGAGATTGTGAATGGCAAGGTCGGTGTTTCATCTCCCTGAGGCTCCGGCTCGCCTCAGTGTCAGAAGCAGGGCAGTTGAACACGGCAGAAATTCGTAGACCCACGCTTCCAACTATCAATTTTAATGGAAGGGAGAAAAGATTCAGTTAACATTAAAACATAGATAATCCTAAAATGCTTTTAAATAACTTGTTTTATAATTTTGAAATTCAATTGAAATCACAACTGTTATCACAATACAAAGAGACTCTTCCTGAACAATCTGAAACTAAGTTGCTGAATTGTTGCACCATATTTCCTAACTGCATTTGGAAATACAGATTCATAGAAAGTCGCAGTGGAACGTACAGAGAGGTCCTCTTGCACACCTCCCCTGGGCTCCTCCAGTGGCGGCATCTTGCATAACGCTAGTACAACATCAAGTCCATGGGACTAAGTTATGCCTTTTGTACATGTACATGTGTGTAGGCTCTACACAATTTTACCCTATGTGTAGCTTCATGTAACCCCCATCACAGTCAAGACACTTAATAATTCTACTGTTAATGCAGGTCTCCCCGGAGCCACTCCTGACTTCCTCTGTCTGCAGCCCAACCCCTGGCAGTCACTGATATGCGCTCCATCTCTCTAACTGTTAGTCGTGTCAGGAGTATGATACAAATGAAGTCATGCAGTGTGTGTCCTCCTGAGATTGTCTTTTCAACTCAGCCTCGTTTCCTGTCGGTTCATCCAGGCGGTTATGTGTATGAACAGTTCATTTCTTTTCAGCACAGCATATTCCATGGATGGATGTAGCACAGTTTACATTTTTTAAAGCATAACTTTTTCTGTAACTATTCCACTGTTGCTTCTCAGGCTCCAGTCCTTGTGCTGGGAACTAAATGAACTCAACGATTAACAGTATTTAGTCTCTTCTGCTTTAAAACTTCCTCCTTCAGAGTTTCACTTGGTTCTTCTTCCTCTCCTCTTCGGGTGCATCTGAGTGCACCCTCTTCACAAGATTTGGAGGAACAAGTCTTAATTGTCATTTCTCTTCTCTGTGGGCTGTGTCCTGATAGCAGATGAGGTATAGTCCGACTTGCCCGATCCTCTGGCTCAGCCTCTGTCTTTTGTGCACGTGGCCAGCTGCCCCTGGCTGGTTGTAAAGAGCAGTCTGAGGTTCCCGCATTGCCAGTGTTGGGACCGCTCCTGGAGATTTGGTCAACACCCTCTGCAGATCAGGCTTCCCACCCCAGCTGTCACGGGCACTGCTGCCTCTTCTTCTTCAGCCACCGTCCGTATCCAGAGGGTCTTGTGAGAAGTTGGGAATTTCTACCTCGCCACTCGTAAGACGTGGGGCAGCAGGGCAGTGGTCTCTCGGGTTCTCCCTCTCCCTGACCACTCTCTGCCACCATTTCTGTTACACTGCGGTCAACTCATGCTACTATGGGACTAAGACACTTGATTTTTCTTGAGCTACTGCCCCATGAAAGGCAAGGAACGAGTCTTTCAGTTCTAGATTTCCCCAAACTTATAGCTTGTTTCTACTATTTCCTGCTTGCCCCACCCATGGTTTTTGGTCCCTTAGAGATCCTAGAGTGAGGGTGAGAAGAATGTAAGAAACTCATTGATCTCTCACCCTTCAGTTCTTCTCCCCGCTTACTTCATCTCCATGTCAAAACGAAACTGCCTCTACATCATATTGCTGCCTCTCTTACTGTGGCTTATGGCCAACTTTTTTCCTCATCTGTACTCGAAAAGAATTTTGAAAAATTGTGTATCCACTTGCACATTTTTATGTGACATCTGAAACGTGTTATCAGAAGTGCAGTAGTTGCAAACATGCAGTGTCTGACATGTGTATTTTATCATACCATGGCTTATTACTTATTGTTCTTTTAAATCATTTTTAGTGGTTGCCCAAGGGTTTATAATATATATCTTTAATTCGTCACAGTCTGTTTTGAGATAGTACTGAGTAGCTTCACATACAAGAACCTTACGACAGTCTACTTACTAATCTTCTCTGCCATCTCTTGCACATCTTGGATCTGTTGTGTTATCATTCACTGTGGTACAGCATCATGTCAGAGGGGAGTCAGTCAATGCTCCTTCATAGGTGCTAGCAACTGCTGTGAAATGACACCCTCAGTAAACCCATCAGCTCCTGGTGTCCCGAAAAGGGGGAATAGATTTGAGGGTGCAATGCTGAGATAGTGGCTCAGTCTTGCCCCCATAAAGGTAGCCACTTGCCCTGTCTGAAATTTCAGGGATAAGATAGCATCTGAATCACTTTAAGAGGCTATTTTCTAAAATAGGTGTTTTTTTAATAGTTTCTTCTCCTTTTTAGCAAAATGCTGGGATTTTATCCACTTCAAGTACATTATATAAATGGATTGAATTTCTTAAATATGGGAAAATTCACTGAGATATTTGCTTGTGCTTGTTGTTTGTTTAGCTCCTATTTCATGTTAACAATGGTGCGGGTAGGATAACGGCCACGTACGAGCCCAAAGCTACCAACAGTCTCTGTGACGGGAAGTGGCACTCTCTGCAAGCCAACAAGAGCAAGCACCGTGTGGTGCTGATCGTCGACGGTGATGCCGTTCGTGCAGAAAGTCCGCACGTCCAGTCCACCTCGGTGGACACCAACAATCCCATTTATGTTGGCGGCTATCCTGGTATGTATGGGAGTTTGCTCTGCCCACTCACTTTCAAGGGACATTGTCACTCTGGGGACAATCTCAGGTTGTAGAATAAGGATGAAGAAAAATACACGGTTTGGGTGACAAATCCTTTACCACTTAGAAAGGCTCTGTTCCAATACCAGGGAATTCTTGAAATTAAAATAATCTGCGCATGTAAATTGAGCATTAGGTAGGACTCTGAGGCCTTTGGAGATGATGCACAGTAAACCGGATGACTCCCACTATGGGGGGTCATTTTGGGGCAGGTGATCATTTTAGAGGACAAACAACCTCTCATACTGGTTTTGGGTTAGACTTACACATTTTCAGATGTCCCAAGTAACTATTACAAATGATAAAGTAAACACACTTTATGACTTTTTAAAGTCACAACTATGCCTTAAAATTATTACATATTAATGGTTTTCATCGACATCACAGAAGCCACATGTATAAGAATATTATTCTAATTTTGATATAGTAACCAGTTGAGTTTATTTTTGTACTTATTGATCTGTTTATGTCATTCAGTAACATCAAGCAAAACTTCTCTTCTTTCCTTCACAGCTGATGTAAAGCAGAACTGCCTGAGCAGCCAGACCTCCTTCCGGGGCTGTTTGAGGAAGCTCACGCTGACCAAGGGCCCGCAGGTGCAGCTCTTCGACTTCAGCAGAGCCTTCGACCTGCGGGGAGTTTTCCCTCACTCCTGCCCTGGGGCTGAGCCCTGACGCTCAGGCAAACCCCCTCACCAGGGAGTCAGTCATTGCTAATATTTTGAAGATAATTATTTTGTTGAATTAAAATTTCTTCAGTTCAGATTCTGTTTCCAACTCAGGTTAAGTGTTTTCAGACAGAAATTTTGTGTTTATGTTAAACTAAAACCACATGTACAACAAATACCTCTATTAAATACTTTAAAATGTAAACTGAATTCATTGGCTTTCTTTGTTAGTTCTTTCCATGAATCTTTGTAAACATTGACTGCTCTGTTAATTACCTGACAGTATTTCACAGTTGACTTTTTAAACCTTTAGAAAATAAAATATCATTATAGACTATAATAGATTAGAGCAGAAAATGAATACTTTTCTTTCTTCTCTTTACCAAAACTTCAAGTTCTGATTTCTACAATAGGGAAGCAATGGTATTGGTTACACTCCAGCTGAGGGCACCAGCTGTTGGCCACATAAGGCTCCGTGGAGTCACAGGGGGAACGGCAGCAGAGGAAGGAGCCAGAACCCCCTTTGGATGTATGTTGTTGAGTCAGGACATAACAGCATTTTTCAGGGGAAAAAAAGGCATCGCGACTTTGCAACTAGTTAGCTCTGCTTTCATTGTCAATTTTTTTCACCACCTGGTCAGCTACCAGTCCTGGGAGAATGTATATAATTTCAAAAGAAGGGAACTTTAAAAGCCACACATACTTGTACATTCTTTTAATGAACTAAGCAGTTTTAAACCCAGATTGCTGAACTCTCATTTGGTTTCCTCCAAATATATTTAGTTCTACTCTGTGGCCATGGCTAGGGTCAAAACGGCTGTTATTCCATAATCTTTAGAAAAATGATTCCATTTTTCAACTGCTTACTTGCATAGAGGTCACTACCTATCTTAGCAGTGACCTGCTTTTCTAATATGGGAGGTAGTAAATTCGATTTCTATTTCTGAGAGAGATTTTAATCTGATAAACAAGGAAGGCAGCTGTGGTCATATTCCCTGGCCCTCTTCTGTGCCTTGTTCATGTCTCTTGTTCATGTCTCTTGTTCATTACCGCATGGTAATCTGCACCTACTTTCTGGTTTAATATCAGCATGAAGATATCAGAGAAAGGGAGCAGCCAGCTGTGGAAGTCTGCATTCTGCAGCACCCAGCAATTTAAGAATGTGGACTCCTGCAATCTAAAGGCAGCCACTTGGGCAGCTGGATTAGAAAAGGAGCATTTGCATCTCAGCAGTGAAAATGCACAAACAGGACCTCGCTGGACTGTGGGTGGCCTTGCTGCTCATTTTTCCATGGAAACCATCTACAGCAGGAGATGACTTGCCAGACCTTGGTCCACCACGTTGGGACAGAGAGCAGACTCCAGTGTTGCCATGCACTCTGTGCTCCTCCCTCCCTCTTCCCACCTCCTTCCCTCCTCCTCTCCCTGCCCACTTATTAATAGAGCTAAAACGGAGTTCAGACCTTTCATGGTTGTTCCTATTCGTGAGGCCTCTCTGAAAAGATCCCC